AAACAATAATAAAACTTGTTCTTGAGGATACGAAAGTAGCGGTGGACAAAGGGCAGAAGTAATTATAGGTCCGTCCAAACGATTCGCGAATAAAATCTAAAAAGTACGAGTTGTGCCTTAAAGATAGATACACGGGGCGTGAATTGGACATATTATTGGATGAAACTCGTGTATTTCTTTTTTAAAAAATAAAAAAATAGCTTGTTTGAATTGCTAGTTTATACAGAAAATTTTTAAAAATATTTTCAATTATTTTTCTATCTCATATATATATATATATATATATCATTATGTTTTCTAAAAAATCTTGAAAATTTTTCAATCCAAATTGACTACGGAAAAAAATCAATTCGTGGTCCCAAACAAATTGGACCTTCTAACTAACGGCCTAAACAATCGCCTCTAAAGGTCTTTAGAAACTCCCATTGTATGCAGCAATTAGTAGAACTTGCTCCATTATAGATAGAACGGTCAATTGTGTCGAGTCAACCCGAAATTAGCCCATTTGGGCAGATAAAAACTTACCGATCCTAAACCTTAATTGGACCGGGTAGATCTTGAGCCACACTAGACTCATACTCTATTCAAGTTTGGCACGCGTATTAGTATAATTATATATATATATATACACTTCGTCCGTACCATTTTATATGTTATGATTTCTATTTTAATTTGTCCCAAAATACTTGTTATGATTTAAAATAGAAATAAATGGAATCCAACATTTCTATTATATCCTTAATACAAGTCCCAAACAAAAAGCGTTTAAGTCATATTCTCTTAATAAATCACGTTACAAAAGTATTTTTTGTTTTTAGGTAGTTGTGCCGTTTTTTAAATTCCAAACTCAACTCACAAAATTTTAAAGCTTAATCGAAGGACAATAATAGAAAGACATTTTTTTTTATTAGCTTATGCATCTTAGTCAAAATTTATTTTTCTTAAACTGTTTACAAAGTTGATCATAACATATAAAATAGGATAGAAGGAGTCCAATAATATGTACAATTTATAATTATACATATTACACCATAAATGTTAATAATTTATATATAAATTATAAAATGATCATCAAGAATGCTAAATGCCAGCCGGACAAGAAGTAACATAAGGCATTGTTTGGATTGTCATTTTTCTTCAAAAAGTTTTTTTATAAATATATTTTTTAATCACCTATTGATCTCGAATATATCAAATTGCTACAGTATATTTATTTTTATAAAAAAGCTTCAAAACTAGTAGTAATCCAAACCGGCCTAAAGTTTTTTGGTTTTTTTTTTTTTTTTTGGGGGGTCTTAATTTGAATAAGCTCAATTTATCCGGGTCCATTACGAGACGGATCAAAAGAAAAGCGCTGAATTTTTGACGGACATCGGGGTCCACGTGTCAAAGCCCCAGAACATCAGCAGATAAGTAAAAAGGACAAAGGGTACAGGATGACAGGGAAAGAGGAGCTGCAGGCTAGAGAAGCAACGGGAGGGAAGGGAGGAGCATTCAAAGTAAATTAAATTAAATTAAATTAAAATGGGTTTCGCGATCGGGACCGGAAGTGCCTTGCTGTGCTGTTGGCATGCGACTGTTAAGGTCGTCAGTGAAAGCTGTTTCCTCGCTTGGGACAGTCTCGAGTGGGTCAATGTCGTAATTGTACATGAGGCTTCAATGCCGTAACTTTTTTTAATCTATCATTGTATTATCTTTTCATTTTCATATTTTAAGTATTTTTGCTTATATTTTTTAGATAATTTCGCGAATCTTTAAATTTTCAAGCATTGCAAACTAACAACTAATGAAATAAGGGATACACGCATCAAGAGATTTGTTAATTAAGAACCCATTTGAATTGTTAACTTTTAGAATTTTTATAAATAATATGTTGTAACAATTTGATGTATATAAGATAAAAAAATATTTAAATTTCTATTTTTTGAAATTTTGATAAAATATATGATAATAGTTTAATTTGATATATATAAAATAAAAAAAATAACTATAAAATAAGTTCATAAAAAAGGTTTAAAATTTTTTTTTAAAAAAAAAATGATAATCCAGACATGGCAAACTTCGGGATTTTTTTTGGTAAGCCACCTCAGCATTATCTAATCCTAGGCGAGTTTCACAAACGTGAATAACCGAGCCTTCCCAATGAATCACTTCTCCATATGCAGAACATCCATTGACCCACCGGACATTCATTTGCATTTGCTTGCTTTTATACTATACTATATAACCCTCCCTCTGAAGATGTCTGTCTGAACCCTAGCTAGCATGCTGCTGCTGGCTGGCTGGCTGGCCGGCCTGGGCTTCTCTCTTTTCTTTCTTTCTTGCTTTTCCTCTGCCCTTCTGAATATTTTCCAGGAAAGAACGCTACATGCTGCATAACTTTCAGTGCTACGTTATAGGCCTTTCATTTTGGAAGAGTTTATCTGTCCCTCCCTTTTTTTTTAAAAAAGAAAAATGCTTTATTTGATGAGACCATTAATAACCAACTGGGACTTACGAGTCAAGTGTACTGCGATAAAATTCGCGGGTATTGCCTGAAATAGTAGTGCACAACGAAGAATCAGACGTTCAGCACATCAACGGTAATATTCAGGACATGAATGGAAAATGGAATCTTAGTACAGGCGTATGAGAGGGGCACGACGAAGCTATCGTTGACAATAGTGAATGAAAGATGCAAAGGAAAAAGAGAAGGATGCAAGAGATCGATCGCTTGAAACAAGGAAAGATAAAGATGAAGAGTGGGAGCGATTGGATGGGATTACTGGTCCAATCCTTGCAATGGAAGAAGAATTTGATGGGCTTGAGTGGCGCTAGTATATCAGTAGCGCCGCCCATGGAAAAGATTAAAAAGAAAAGCTTCTGTGCATTTATTAACTAACGAGCGTCTTAGAGCACCCGTTAGCTAATTAAAACTCGTAGCGTGATGCTGTCGTTGCGCATTTACAAGATGGTTGAAAGATTGAGATTGAGAACACCTATTCTTTGACATGTCTGCTTCAATTTTCTAGTAGGTTATTTATGACTAATAGTTGACTGATTCTTACTTATTAAAGCTAAAAGTTATACTATTAGAATAGAATGAGATCGACTACTTGGAAGCATTTCTTGGAGGTGGTTTTGGGAACGACCCTCTAGTCTTTAACTTTTGTTTATAATATCGTTGCATTTAAACAGCTTAAATAAATAAAGCACGCGTTGAACAAACTTTATTTACTAATGAATTTTTTTTTTTTATAGTAACACAGTGTATACACTATCAACGTTATATGAATGATAACTACGTAAAATTTAAATTTTACGTTGATAGTGTATGAAATTCAAATATCCAACGTTGATAGTGTATACACCGTCGCTCAAATTCAAATTTTACATAGTTGTCATTCATCCAACGTTAATAGCATATACACTGTGCCACTGTATATAAAATTTACTCTTTACTAATTAGATAACATAATCAGAAGTGACCAAGAAGGTTTATCTGTCTTGAAATGACAATTGAGTTAAATAAGTTTACCAAAGTTACTTGTCTGTCTGTCCTTGTAAGCATGTTGTGTATCCTTGAATACAAAATATTTTAGAATGATGCCACACATACATTTTACCACATTTACTGCATCTTGTCAAAACTTCAACTACAAAAGTACATAAATGTCGTATAGAATAAACTACTACTGTTTGTGTCTTTAATCTTGGTTAACAGGTCAAATATTGGAGCTCAACAATTAACAAAAACTCTGCTTCTTTTTCGGAAAATTCAAGAGTTTGTATAACAGTTCGTATCAGTATATTATTTTTAAAAAGGTCATAAAATTACATTTGTGAATATGATATTCTAAAGATAACGTTTATTGACAAAAAAAAAAAAAAGATATTCCAAAGATAAAGTTCCGGTGACCATGACCGACAGGATGAGACGGAGCTGTACCCCTAGAACTTAAATCATCCGCGAGAGAACACTTAAACACAAGTAAAAGAAGATTAAGAAACAGGAAAAAAAATTACTCCTAAACCCTCCTCCCACGCTGCCCGATATCACTTAATTATAATTAGCACGGAGAGACGTTAGCGTCGAAGGCACAAACCCAAATTATTTCAAATAGTGGTAGTTTTGAGCTGGCCTAAACTTTCCTTCTCTCCCTCTTATGGCACTTTCTCTTCTCTTCTTTCAACGTCACTCTCACACGCACCATAAAGTCTGAACGTTTAAAGTGCCGGTTAACAAGAAGCCCTTCAGTGTTTCCAATGCAAATATTTTGCGCTCCTTGCTTGAAAGCACAAGAAATTTTCTACTACATCTCCAAAATATATATATATATATATATAACATCATCGCAAAAAGAAGAAACAAATCCAGCATGTCATTTTAACGCCCATTCAATTCTATATATGTTTCCAATAAAAGCTACGACAAGTGACAACAAATGTTCCACCTCCTAGACAAAGTTCTTTTTTTTTTTTTTCTTTTTTTGTTTGAGCCACCTAGCCAGAGATGCATGGAAATAGCTCCTAATCATCATCATAGTAACGAAGCCAAGTCAAGCAAAGCTAGCGTAACCTGGACAACAATAACTAGCAGGTATGAATGACACAATATTTAGGTATGGCATTTAACCAAAAAAAAAAGGGGGGGCGGGGGATGGCAGGAGTTTTGTAAGAAACGTTAAAGTCTGGGGGGGTTTCTGAGAGACTATGGGGGCTCGGAGCTCAACGACAACAATCACCCCACCGCCCCCATTGGCTGCTGCAACCTATTCTTGGCAGTCACTATAGCCAGTAATGGTAGTAGTAGCTGCCTTTCTAGTTCTACACAGATGAAATGGATAACTGATGAGATATCAACAAGAAAATCAAGAAAGAAAAGAAAAAAAAAAAAAGAGAGGGCAAAGAGGCATTGGTAGTAGTGAATAGCCTGAGAGTTGAAGAAAATCTTCTCTACTGTTTATAACTAGTAACAATAAAAACTGCAAAATCCAAAGTTAACTCTATAGCCACCGCTTCTACTGTTTTTGTCTTCCACCGTAAACGTCATCGCTATCATCACACGGATCTCCACTATCGCCGCCGTTTGAGCTGCTGCTGCAGCTACTGCTGTTGCTACACCCATTCCTACTAGTACTACTTTTGCCACCGCAGCTGCACATTTCTTGATCCTCATCATTCCCGTCAACATCATCATTAACATCGCCATTTACTCCATTGACCTGCGAATCTCCACCGTCTATCTCGTCGTAATCTTCCGAATGGTAGTCTTCCTTGGAACTTGCTGGAGAAGATAGAAGAAGAGGTGGGTAGCTGCGGTGGAACGGCCGGTGATCGGGACCGGCTCCGTCAATCTCCGCCCGTCTCGTGACGGTGAGAAGACTACTGGCATGTACTCGTCCACATCACATGGGAACTTTGAGTTCTTGAAATGCTCTTTCAATGCTTCCACCCCTTTTCACAACATCAATTCTTAATTCGCGAGTACCAAAGTTCGGATATGTCGTACGCTACTTAATTAAACAACTACCAAATATCTCCTTTCAAACTTGTGGCTAGCTGGAATTTATTAATAAGTACCATCCAAGATAATACATGCATAAACGTGACAATCCATGCATTTTTTTTTTTTACCTGTAATCTGGCATAGGTAACTTCACAAATTTTGCGGGAGTTGAAGACTTCCCAGCTTTGACGGTGGAATGCCTTGTATAGTCTCAAGGTTGCCTCTGGGGAGGTCATGTTCACGAAGCCGTATCCAACATTGCACTTGTTTCTGCATTTTTCAAGTACGCTGTATATTTTAGGCCCAAAATCACTGCGTTCTATGCAATTAAAAGCCAAAAGAAATACAGGAGAAACAAATCTTCACGAAAATGAACAAAATTTACATGAAATCAATAGGAAGGTAGACAAAGTCGTAGGAAGACAAGGGCTGATCATCGCCGTCATCAATCTGCTCGTTGCAGTGGATGCAGTGGTTGTCTAGCATGTTCAGCAGTAGCTTCTGACTGCACCATGCCCAAAATTTGAACCGAGGAAAAAAAAGAAAAAAGAAAAGAGAAGAAGTCCAATATTCTCATCACAACTTAACCAAAATCGGTTAAGTGTCAAGGGTTCGGACTAAAAATGGTTCTAATCGTACAATTAATTAGATTTTGACCTTATAAACAAGGCATCAAACGAACCTGTACTTGTTGGGAATGTTTTTAATCATGACAGTGGTTCTGGAATCTGGGCAATTTGATTCTATAATCGCATCTTCGTTTATCAAGAAACGCGGATCGTATTCCTTTGACTGTCTAGATGAACCTTTCCACGGTCGACTACCCTTGGTCTGTTGTTGTTGATGCTTAGAAGTACTACTACTAGTAGCCGTCCCACTACTACCACTTGCAATATTTGCACCATTTCCTCCTCTCTTCTTGCAATTCTTCTTTGAACTCGACGGCCTAAAGTTCCAAGATTCTTCCTGTACTCCTACATTTCGACTTCCATTTTGGCCAACAAGTCTCAGAGAAGCCATTGAATTTTGAACCGAGGCATTACTCGAACTAGAGCTCCGGTTATCACCATTTCCATTAGGGTTTCCCTTGGAATGAAAACTCGCCGCTTTCATATCATGAGATTTACAAAGCGGCCGACCAGATATTTTACGAGACATGGGAGGTGGTGGAGATGGTGGCAAGTTACGTGAAGGCCTTGCTTGATAATTTGTTAAAGAATATTCAAGTCCGCTGAAAGTGGCCATAGTATTGCCTCGGCTGGCTCTTGATGATGAACTTTTCTTGCTATGACCACCAGGCCTGCTAAATTCAATCACAACTTGCCTACCTTGAATTTCCTTCCCGTTCATTTCCGACAAGGCCTTTGCTGCATCTCTAGTATCGTGAAACTCCACAAACCTTTGATGCCTCTTCATTGGTGTCTCTCTCAATTCCTTAACAGGCCCTGCACAGGCAACATAATGCCTCAGATGGATGCGGTCCCAGGAGCATGACCACAATTATACATAATAGTATAATACCCCCACCCCCGCCCCAAAAAAAAAAAAAAAAAGATTACCGAGTCTTTTTTTTTTTTTTTGACATGGATAGATGCCTATTATCAAGAATACTTAATGCTAGGAAATAAAACAAAAATTTCCCCGTAAAAACATAAAATAAAAACATGCAACCACAATCCAATTAAAGACAAAAGGGGGAAAAATCAATCAAAATTCGAAGAAGGGAAAAAAATTCTGGTATTGAGCTCAGAAGATGATACAAGATCGTTTCGTACCAAAGGCTTCAAAAATTTGCTTGAGGTAAGTTGGGGTGACCTCGGGCTCCAAATTGAATATCACAAGAGTCCCTTGGTTATTCCCATCCGGAAGCGTAGAAGCCACGGGGACTGTATATTGAGCCCAGACAGCCCTCCCGGCTATGAGCCCTCGTCCTGGCGGCGGAAGCGGCGGCAGCAGAAGCTGTGAAGGAGGAGGCAGTAAATTAAGACCCACGGAATTCTGCGCAAAGACGGCATCGTAATGCCTCCTCAATCTGAACTGCTGCTGCATGTGCTGCTCTTGAATTGCCGCCAACGCCTCCTGCGCTTGCCTCAAGTCGTAGAAATGAACCGTGACGATCCCGTCTCGAACTCGCTCCATCTGAACTGCCCTGACGTCACCAAACACCTCCAGCTCTCTCCTCACCGTCGACTCGCTGACGTCAGCGGGGACCATGCTCAAGAGTAAGGCCCGTGACGGCATGTTACAAGAAGGTGGCAAAGAGGTACTGCCAGGAGGACTTAATAGAGAGGGGTGGTCGCTGCTAACGAACGCCGGCGGCGGAGGAGGAGGAGGAGAGAACTGGTGGTAAGGCGGTGGAGAAGCGTAAGGAACGTAAAGATGCGGAAAGAGTAAAGGTGGTAAATGATGATGGGTGGTTGGAATGAATTCTTGAGCTCTTGGGTCGAGGTTTCCTGGGAAACGGGAAGCAAAACCAGTAGTGTCACCCATGATTTTTTTTTGTGGTGTGGTTTTGGGGGGGGGAGGAAATTGGTTGCCGGAAACAAGCGGAAGGGTGGTTTTCCGGCGGGTTGGCTAGGCTTTTTAGTTAGTAGAAATTTCCATTAGCAGTTTCATGAACTACATATGTATCTGGTAATGCTAGCGATTTGGAACCCAACCATACCATACTCTGGCCCATGGGTTTGTTCTCTCTCTAGGCATCTTCTGCTCTACACTACATAGTATTGTAGTTGGAGAATTGCTTCTATCTACATCTCTCTCTCTCTCCCCAGACTACGTTAATCCGGCAGCAAAGATTAGTTTGTGTGTGTGTGTGAGAGAGAGAGAGAGGGGGGGGGATGAGTTTGAGTCTTTGAGAATGTTTGTTTGAAAAGAACAATAAGCAACGAGTCACCACCACCTCACATTACCTCACAGCGCTACTTTCTTTTCTTTTCGGACCGAAGCTTGCTGGAATTATAAATGCGCCTATGTATTGTACTGTTGGTAGTCTTAAGCTCAGGTTACGAAATTACCGGACAGCCTTAGAATTACTGAATATTTTAGTACGTGTTTTGCGATGTGTAATTGTGATTATAGTTTGCCCTTTTTGGTTACTGAAACTAATTTTGAGTTTTTTGGATAAATTTGCAAGTGGCTCAATTGTAATAATCGGAGAAATGCAGTACTGTCGCTGTCATCTGCAATAATGGAAATTTCGATTCATCATTTATTAATTTTAAGTTACAAATCATTTGCTTGAATGCAAATTGTTTGTAAATTGAAAATTTTATCTTGCTCTTAAACTTACACCGGCATCATGTCTATGATTGTTAATCAAAATTTTTGTAATGTGATGCATGTGAGATAAAAAATAGTCGGGAATATAAAAAGATGAATTGAAAAATATATTTATAATGGAAACGAAATATTAATTATTTGAAATAATTTAGCAATCCAAACATGCTCAATAATGATGTATGTTAATTCTTAAGAAAGAGCAGTTTTAGTTCCACTTTGATTTTCCAACCACGATTTTGTCATGCTTGGATTGTTTGTTTCCGTCGGAAAATATTATATAATGTGTTTGGATAGTGGGTTATTTTCCCAAATATATTTGCTTGCATCACCATTACAATTTTCAATACAATTTTTTATCTTTCCAACTACTTTTTTATCTCACATACATCACATCACAAAAAGTGCTACAGTAAAAATATCTCAAATAACCCACTATCCAAACACACTGATTGTCATTTTCCGTGATCACATTTTCCTATCACCTTTTTCCCTCACATATATCAAATCGCTACAGTAATTTTTCCATGAAAAATGACGGAAAATACAATCCACACACAACCTTCGTCTCGTGAAAACGTAACATCAAGTTGGAACCAACAATTTTCTGTTTCCTACATGCATGTTAAATTATTTCACTACCTAATTAGTAGCTCATTTAGGAGTTGCCTCTTCAACTCAACTATACCAGCTACAGTTATTGTTATCTTCCTCGCCAGTCAACAACCTTCAAAATCTTGAAACCAATCCAGCGCACACATTCTAGCATTGCCATTGCTAAAATTAATGACCTAACCTATACATGTTTAATGTTTGATACACACAAATGTTTGTGTAGAATACGAAAAATGTACAAAAGGCCGGACGGGGGCAGAGGGTTAATTAATTGTCAAAAATAATTACTATAATAGTAGTAATTGCGGGTGTTGCGCTGGTACTCCTTCATGTTGATGTTGTGGCTGCTTTGACTACTGGTGGTGCTGAGTGCTGGCATGGCTGGGTAGTGTGCAGTCTGCTTTATTTGGTCTGCATATTAACTCTTGTGAGGTGAGCAAGAGGTCTGACTTCTCCTCATACTAGTACTCTATTTCTGTGTTTTTTTTATGCTTTTCTTCTTTTCTTTTTCTCTTCACTTTAACTCGGCATAATTTTCAAGCACTTGTCTCTACACGTATGTAATGCAAGAAACACACTACTACGACTCCCTGTTGCTGCTGTTACCGCTATTATGTTCTTTGTCTTCTTCGGTTCAGGAGAAAAGCCAGAAGGCTGAGACCCCTCCCGAGAGAGAGAGAGAGAGAGACTCCATCCACTCTTTTAGAGTTTTCAGAATTAGCACTACTTTTGCTTTCTATTCAAACTTCTATCTCACATTATACCCATATGATTTTGGCTTTTCTTTTGTTTTTCCTTCTGCCCGAAAAGGATGTTCGATACACGATCTTGGCCTTGGACAGGATTTAAAGTCCCTTGGTACTTTTTCATTAATGTCGTCGTCTTGAGATTAAATCTATGTCCCTAGTTCCATCTTAAATTCACACCACCTACAAATTTCGTTGCTAATGATACGAGGCAATGCATTAATAAATGCATAGATAGGTTTTTATGAAGTACTATGAACGGAGTGGTGTAAATTTATTTCTCCTTCTTAAATGGAGTATCCAACATGGTATGCAAAGACTCCAATTTATTGGTAAAGTCCCATGAGTATTTGCATATAAATGATTGAACATGCTTTAGAAGGAAAATGTACCCATTTTATTAGTAAAATGTATATGAGGAAGCTTAAAGTATACATGTTTATTTTACATTTTCAATCATCCCATGTATCACATCATAAAAATGCCGTAGTAATATCCCGAATAAATTTCAAATAATCTCTCTCCCAAACACACAATATAGTTATCCATGAATGGTGGATTAAGTGGCTTAGACATTACCGTACTATTTTAATTCTTGCAGACTTTATTCTTTTATATGTAGAAAGAAGAGAAGGACATGTATGAAAAAATTGCTACGTTTTTTCGTGACTGTAGTTTTCAATCATTTTTTTACTTCGCATTTATCAAATTGCTACCGTAATTTTTCTACAAAAAAATCCAGAACAATGCAATTCAAACATAACCTAACATATGTGTTAATGAGTGACAATGACATGTAAATTCGCTCCTCAGGAAAGAGCTCTAGATCTCTTATCTTTCCCATTTGGTCATCATTTACTAATTCATTTTGTTTGTTTGGGATAAAGATTGTGGCTATTGTTCTGCAGTAAAATTATACATGACGGGTTGTTTTAATCCTTGAATTTTATATTTGCTTATTATCGGAATGTATTACCATTATTCACCTCTTGTGCTCCAGAGTTCAGGAGGCGAAGCAAGAAGCTGAAGGGACCTTTGGGGCCAAGATAAGTAGGGCCAGGATCACCGTTTAGGATCTGCTGGGGTCTCCTGGCAGCATTTATGACAGGACAACACATATGTAAAAATGATTGAATTTCCTTTTCGGCACTTAAGTTTGAACTTTGATATCATGATATGTCCTCACTCTCCTTTTAGCCTGGACCAGGACTGAGTTCCTCCAGGTTTTAGGGTTTCGTAGATGCGTGAACAATGGAAGGAAAAGAGATCACTTTAAGAAAAGCTTTTACAATCACTTGTTGGGATCTTTCGGTTCCAACAAAACAAGAAGGCAGTCTGTAACATTTTTTTTATAATGTGATATATATATATAAGGTAAAAAAAATGTGTATGAAAATATTCATAAAAATTTGAATTGTAATTTTTTGGATTTTTTGTAAAAAATATATTATAACGATTTGATATATGTGAGATCAAAAGGTGATTTAAAAATGTGTTTACGAAAAACGTATAAATTTTTTAATAAAAAATTCCTTTTCATACAATTCTTCTTCAAAAAAAAAAAAAACAATTCAAATAGGGTAGAGTGCTCGATTTTTCTTTTTCTTTTCCCTTTTTTTTCCACAATTCATAAACGAAGGGAAGAAAACTTTTCTGCTCGGATTAGATCAAACAGCTCCACCTTACAAAAGACAAGCCAACGAAAAGATGGACAAGTGTAGGTACATAGAATAATTATAAAAATTACTTTCATACTTCATATAATAATAATTAAAACAAAACTCTATCTTAGGCTCAAAAACCACCGAGTCCTAGAAAAAAATAGAAATGTAGGGTTAAGGTGGCATTATTGCTTATTGGATTTGGGTTAACGTGACAATTTGCAGCACCATTAGAAGAAAAAGAAAAATGGACAAATAAAATAGGCTGCACTGTCGGATAAACATGCACTATGAATGATTGAACAATAATTGGTTCATTCCGTCATTTTCGCGTCGATTTGGAGCACCCCCACAAAAAAAAAAAAAAAAAAAAACTTGTTATGCCACTTTGATTAGATTACGATTTATAGTAGTGTGATCCTGTTAAAAATAAATTAAAAATCCTACTGGAGAAAGAAAAAAAGAAAAAGAAAAGGGAAATTATGGGATTGTTCACTAAAGATAGAGCAGTCGTTTGCATAAGAAATCAAGAGCGGCACACGTGTACCATAGATTACACTGACTCGAGCCCGACACGAGATTTCCGATGCCTCCCTGAACCAATACAAAGGCAATTAGAAATTACCAAAATTATACAGATGTTTGGATTGTCATTTTCTCCTAAATTTTTTTTAGGAATCACCAAAATTGCATAGATGTTTGGATTGCCCTATTTTCCTAAAAAATTTTATTTTTTTGTGAATACATTTCTCATTTGTCATTTTATCTTACGTATATTAAATCGCTGTAATATATTTTTTTTTAAAAAATTTAAAATAATAATAATAATCCAAATGGAAAGCATGAATGCCCGTTTTGATTGTTGTTTTCTACAATTTTTTTTTAAAAAATTATTGTAACGATTTGATAAATATAAGGTATGGGGAATTAGATGATTTAGAAGACGAAATATAGGAGAAAGATTTTGAATTCGAACCTTATCATTTACACTAAAAATGGATATATATATATATATATATATATATATATATATATATATATATATATATATATATATATATATATATATATATATGGTAAAAAGATGATTGAAAAATGAATTCACATAAAACATACAAATTTTGTAAGAAAAATAGCAAAAGATATATATGCAATGTAAAAAAGTGTTTGAAAAATAAATTCATAGAAA